TTTGACCTGGTGTGTTAGACATCTTGAGGCCATCCCATTTTCAGGAATTCAAACTTGGTTTTGCAAATATAAAGTAAAACCATAGGGCAGAATGTTGCTTTTTGAGATTAAGTATGGAGTCAGACCTAAAAATGGGAGGTACATTTACAGAGGGTGGAGAAGGCTTGTCTCACACAATTTCATTCTTTTCAACTCAATGCATAGGCATGCACATCTCAGCCCAGAGGGAAAGTGGCTCCACACTTCGTGATGCTTTCCCAGATGTACATTTTTTTGTGAGACAGCAACAGGAGTTATTCAGACAGACAAAGGCAGCCTGGACCAAGGTAGCTATGAAAGGTGCCAGAACCAGTTGAAGAGAACTTGGCTTAAATGCTGCAAGAGGATGCAGAAACAGCTGTTCTTTGCTAATATGAGTGCCACTATCTACTGAATGCTTCATTCTCCGATGAATGTGAGAGAGCGTTATAAGTTTGCCATTGCAAGAGAGGCGTCTTTAGTCGACCTATTCAGGGCTGTAAAGACGCATATTTGGACGAGGTGGGACTTGAATCCAGGTCTCCTGGCTCAGAGGTAGAGATACCATCAGTGCCCCACAGAAGCCCTCCACTGCAGAAGACAGTCATACAGAAAATTAGGTGCTAGGCATTTCCATCAGATACTTTATGTCCAATGATTATGTCTCAATTAATTAAAGCTACCACTATTGTATCACTTGCACCATGGTGATACTGCTCTCAAACATCTGCCAGGGTTCACAGTCAAATTTGAAAAAGCTACAACCTCAGCCCCTCAGGCACTTTCAGATTACTGATCTTTTATTTCAACTAGGAGAACTTACACATCTGATATGTTTTCAATAAAACTTGCATGGAACAAGGATACAACCACAAAAGGTATCTTCATTCAGAACACTTAAGATGTATCTCTGTCACTCACATCTTATAAGATTTTATTGTGCCTGAACCATTGTAATTCGTTGATGAAACAGAAGCACCATTCATTCTAATCTCCTCAGACACTCAAAATCACATTCTTCTTGCCAATAAGGGGGTACTGTGGCATAGAGATAATGTCACTTAGCAAGTAATCGAGAGCCCCAAGCTGAGGTTCAAGGGACACAAGTTAGAATTTCACCATGACAGATGATGAACTTTCAATTCAATCAAAATTTGGAATTAATAATTAGTTTAGTGGTGACCACCTAACTATTGTCAGTCATCCATAAAAACCCATTTGGCTTACCAATTCCCGATAGAGAAGGAAATCTGGTCTTTCCTGTTCTAGCCTACATATGACACCAGAGCCATAACACTCTTGTGCCTGCCTCTTATCTGCCATTTGAAATAGCCTAGCAAGCCAGTCAGTTTCTCTAACACTACAAAGTCTAAAGAATGCAAAGAAACCAGACAGATCACCTGAAATTGATGTAGGCCATAGAAATGACAACAACAGACCCAGCCTTATTGACTTTGCGAAGTCCTCTTTAATAGCATCCGGGGACTTAAGCTGAATTTGGGAGAATTGTCCGATAGTCTAGTCAAACAACCTCTAACATAGTCATATCTACAGAATCACATGTTACGGACAACTTGCCAGGCACCAGCATCACTGTCCTGTATCTCCTTTTCCATTGACAGGACGAACCCATCAGAGGTGGTGACAAATGGTATAGAATCAGGAGGGAGTTGTCCTCTGCCCTCAATATTGACACTGGATCCCATTGAGTTTTATGGCAGCAGGTCAAACACGGGCAAGAAAACCTCCTGCTGATTTCCATCTAACTCATTTTTTTTTTTGTTTAATGACTCAGTACTTGTCCATATGGAACACTACTCAGAGGAAACACTAAGAATAGCATATTTCTTGGTAGGGGTCTTCTGTGTTCACCACCAAGTGTGGCTCTATGGCACTTATGTGACCGAGCTGGCTGTGTTCTATGGATATAACTGCTAGACCAGACTTGCAGTAGGTGTTTTGGAAACCAGTAAGATGGAAAAACATATTCAACTCATCTCACCAGTCTACCTGCCAATTAATCTGTCCATGACAGTATTACCAGGATTGACCACTGCGCAGTCCTTGTGGAGAGGATGTCCAGTCTTCACATTAAGAATTCCCTCCATCATGTTGTGTGCCATGATGAAATAGACTTCAAATAGATCTAGAAAGTCAAACCTGGGCATGCTATTGGTCATCAGTAACAACAGAGTTATATTCAACCATAAGCTGTAACATCATGCACACTGCCATTAACATCAAGTAGGGAGCTCAACCTTAGTTAAATGAAGATTGCAGATGTAGCATGCAATACACAGGCCTAACTGATACCTCAACTAATGCATCAGATCTATGGGCTGCAATCCTGCCATATCCAGTCATGAATTGTGGTGGGCAATTAAATGGCTAACAGAAGAAGGAGACTGCACAATATCCTCAATTCTTAAAAATTGGGGAGCCCAGCATTTGAGTGCAAAAGACAAGGCTGAAGCATCCACATCCATCTTCAGTCAGAAGTGCCAAGTGATTGACCCATTGTAGCTTCTTCCTGAGGCCCCAGCAATTCAACCAATTCGATTCACCTTGCATGCTGTCAAGAAATGGCCGAAAGCACTGGACATTACAAAGAACATACAAACATGAAACAAGAGTAGGTCATTTAGTCCTTGAAGCCTGCTCCGCCATTCAGTAAGATCATGGCTGATCTGATTTTAACCCCAGCTCTACATTCCCTTGGTAGTCAAGAATTTGTCTATCTATACCTTAAAAATATTTAAAGTTGATGGGCTGTAACATTCCAGCAATAGTATAGAATCCCTACAGTGTGGAAGCAGGCCATTCAGCCCATCGAGTCCACACCAACGCTCCGAAGAGCATCACTCCCACACCCACCCACTACCCTATCCCGATAATCCTGCATTTCCCACGGTTAACCCACATAGCCTGCATACGATTGACAAGTTTAGCATGGCCAGTCTACCTATCCTGCGCATCTTTGAACTGTGGAAGGAAACCGGAGCATCCGGAGGAAACCCATGAAGACATTGGGAGCATGTGCAAACTCCACACAGACAGTCACCCAAGGATGGAATCAAACCCGGGTCCGTATAGCTCTAAGACGACAATGCTAACCACTGAGCCACCATGCCGCCCCATAATGCAGACCTATGCTTCAGAACTAACCACACCTCCAGCCGGGGTGGGTGGGAGATCCAAAGTTAGGGTCGACCCCACCCCACCCCACCCCACCCACCCAAAAGAAGTAACCTCTTTTCTTGCCAGCTTTTAGTTGCATGCATCCCTGCTTTCTAATGTGCAGCAAGAGACCATAATTCTCTTCTGAGTTTATCCCTCAGATCATCTGAATGGAGAAGTATATTTAAGTAAGATAATCCCAGACTGAAAATAAGGGTGAATCATGGGAGTGCTGTAGTCAAGTCTAACAATTAGTTAAAGAACAGCATTGATGAGGAATAGGAGCACTTTGCCCTCAAACTCCACTTACTTGGAACCAATAAATATGGTCATCCAGAGAAAAGAAATGTGGTGACAAATGTAATGTCAAAATATCAGGAATTTAGACGTTGATTGAATCATTTTTCTATTCCTCAAAGTAGGATGAGAGATGCTAAAGGGACTGATTCATAGGATGACAGGTCTGACATATGAAGAGAAATTGGATCAGCTAGGACTGTGTTTCCTGGAGTGTAGAAGAATGAGGAGGAATCTCAAAGACTGAGAAAATTTTAATAAAGGGAGCAGGAATTTAAGACTGAGTTGAGGAGAAGTTTCTTCTCTCAGAGGGTTGTGAGTCTTTGGAACTCCTTGTCTTGGAAAGCTGGGGACAGAATTCTTATGTTTATTTAAAGCTGAGATAGATAGAGTCTTGATCAGTAGGTTAATTAGTGGTTACCAGGAAAGTGCAGGAAAATAGATGTGAGCAGTGACAGAGCAGGCTCGAGGAGCCAAACAGCTTAGTCTTACTTCTATTTCTTATAGTCTTATGGACTAGACTGAATAAACGCAGGAAGAACATTCCCAATGACCAGAACCAGGGTTACAGTTTAAGAATATAGGGTAGGCCATTTAGGACTGAAATGAGAAGAAATCTCTCAGAGAGTGGCGAACCTGTGGAATTCTCTGCCAAAACATTAAATATTTTCAAGAATGTGTTAGACATGGTTCTCAATGCTGAAGGTATCAAAGGCTATGAGGAGAAAGCAGGAACAGGATACTGAGTTGTATGATCGGCCATGATCATATTGAATGGCGGACCAAGTCTGAAGGGCTGGATGGCCTACACCTGCAACAAGTTTCTATGTTTCTATGTGAAGAAGGTTAAAAAGGATCCTCTTGTTATTTTCAGAGGAGCTTCTTGTTATTTTCAAGTAGTTGATTAAGCAGATCAGTAATATCACTGAGGGATCAATGGCTTCCTAACCTGTTTCATTGCCTGACATTGGACTGACTGTTCTTTCACTTCTTCGTCACGTTCATCCAATTTTTCACCATTTAAGGATATGCCTTCCTGATGCTATATACCCTAATTTCTAATCTCCTTTTAATACCCATGTTATCCATCAGTATTTCTAAACCACATACCCATAGATCTCTAGGGTTCAGTAGAAACTTTCTGGAATTCTGCAAGGTAAATTCCTGAGTAGATAAAAGAGAGAAAGAAACATATAGGGAAAATGGGAAAGATAAACGGAGGCATTCCACCAACTCTGTTTAAATAATTGCCAGTTAGTATTAATCTACTTAGAGTAGCTGGCAAGATTTTCATTCCAGAATATTCTACTTTCTTCGCAGTGATAGGTATCTCATAAAAATACTTTTCAATGGCAAGTCTCATGCTTTCTTTCAGTAAAAGAGGAGAGCAGGTGAATGGCCAGTGACAGCTGAGATACTTGCAATTCACCCTGTTTGATTAAACAATCTCCTTAATTGAGAAGATTTCAAACAACAACTTGTCTGTAATCTTTTCTTTTTTGTTCCAGGCATCGAATTTCCAAGTCCAAGTTCAGGTCAGTTAACACCTAATACATTTAATACAATCTTTTTATTTTTGATAATGTCTATATTACAGTGATATTCCTAATGCAAGCATTGATTCAATAGTAGCTTGATTTGTCTACCAGTAAAGACAATAAGCATTATTTAAGATGATTTCTGCATCTTCCATTTATATAGAATTATTATCAAGTGTCATTTAAGAAAAATTGCATGCATACCAAAATCGGTTTCCTGTTGCAATACCCTATACTTAAATAATATTAAACATGGCTGTAACATGAAAGTTGTGTAATAATTGTAGCAAATAGGAACTCCTCAACGAGAGAAACATCATATCTGTATCTACCCTATCTACCTTTTAAGTATTTTATAAGTTTCAATCAGGTCACCTCTCGTTCTTAGAAACTCTGTAGAAAACAGACAGTTTGCCCAATCTCTCTTCTAGGACAGTCCCATCATCCCGGGTGTCTTTGTCACATTCCCTCTCTGACAATATTATCTTCCTGAGATAAGGACACCAAAATTGCATACGACTTCTGGTGTTTTTTAACTAAGCTCCTCTACAAAGATTCACTACTCCTGTACTCAAATAACTTAGATACTTTGACACCTGTTCTTAGATTGACCGGTAGCGGTAGGTAATAACTTGGCATTTAAAATTTGGAAATAACCTTGCCTTCTTTTTAAAATCCTTTTACCATCACTGGTTTTGGTGATCTATCTACTGTGCTACTCTCAGTACTTCTACTCTCTTACTGGGCTGGGCACCCCAATGCTTAATTGTGATACAGCCATTTGATCTGAAATAACTTTCAGCCACCATTTTCCCTTCAGTACCTACTATTTCTTCATCTGAGTGCTTCAATCCCAATCTTCACACAGTATATCTCACTAAACTAGTAGCATATCTATAGTACCTCACCCCGTTCCATCCTCCGAGCACTGTTCCCATCACAACCATTCTTCTAACTCCTGAGTATCTATGCGCAAAACTGTAAAAGGTTATTTTATGTTACACAAGGATTTCTCACCAGTTAATGATAGACCAAGCCAGAACACAAAAGTACTGCCCTTTTGAAATTCTTTTAAATTATAATTGTCTATATCTTATAGCCAAATGTAGACTCTCATTTATTTTCTAAAATGAATAAAAAATTGTTGCCCTAAGCACAAAGAGACAAATGTTGTTTATACTCTTAACAATTTTTATACCAACGTTAACAAATGAACTGACTCTGTGGTTGGAATACATAATATGCTGAAATTGAGTCATTAACAAAATTATGATGTTGTTTAAGGTATTTGTACAAGCTATTAAAAGCTTGCCTTGCAAAATATCAATGCATTGCAGGTTGACACATAAGATCATTTGACAGGTCTAGGTATGTAATTAACTTTAAGATATCTTGTTAGTATGTAATTTTTTTTTAAAATTAATGGCATTACCAGCTGCCTGTAGTATATATGGCAGGAATGCTAATTTCTGTTCGAAGTCACATAGCAACCATGTGTCACCTATCCTCTGAGAACAACCTCCTGTGACATAATTATATACAAAATTCAAAATAAGAGGTTTGTGGTCTGGTGGTAAACAAGTCACTGAGTGATGCCAACCATAATAATCTTTCAGTTTGGCAGTCATTGGAGTTTTTTTCCTGGTTAACATTATCACATCATGTAAACAAATTGCATTTTCCAATCTACTATTTCAAAAATACTTAAGTATTTAATACTTTTTGCACTTCTACTCTCTTAGTAACTTTCCACCTTACACATACCAAATGCATTTTTCTAATTTGTTTTTTTCACAGAATGTGGGTGTCACTGGCTGTGTCAGCATTTATTGCCCATCCCTAATTTGCCTTGAAAAAGGGGTGTTGAAAGTTAGCTTCTTAAACCTCTGCAGCGTATGTCATGAAGGTACACCAATAGTGCTGATAGGAAGTGAACTTGCACATTTTAGCAACAGTGAAGAAATGACAATTTGGATTCAAAGTAGAATTGTTTTTGACTTTGAGAGGAACTTGCAGGTGGTAGTGTTTCTATGGATCTACTGTCCTTGTCCTTTGAGGCAGTTAAGGTCAGGGATTTAAGGTATTATCTAAGGGCTTTACTTGCTACAATACATCTTGCAATACACACAGCTGCCATTGTGCATCAGTGGTGGAGGAGGTAAATATTTAAAATTTAAGTAGTTGTTTAATTTCTATTTATGTTCAAAACGTATCCAGCAATGATATTATTTATGATCATGAATAATTGTGTAAGTGTGGGTCAATTTGTCTTGCCTCTGATGGTGCCTTATTCCAAAATGCTACACCAATTCGCCTGCCAATGAGAGGTACTTATTCATATGTCACTAGTCTAGCAGGATAACTGAATGTTACAACCCTTCACTGGAATGTAACATGAAATTTTAATTTTTATGGTCATCCTTTGTTACAACGTCTTACCTTCTCTCACTTTCACCTTTGCTTTCAATGGACTGCCCAAGGTGTCCAACTTGCTGTGTAAAAATTGTAAGTATGTATCTCTGGGGTTGGTTTCCACCTTCAAACATGGTTTGTAATCTGGTGGAGTGGATCAACCATTTTTTTTCCTTGAACCCACTAGATTTTTATAACATTGATTCAGACAATTTTTATAATGGGCAGTTGATGCATTCTACTAGATTAGTGTTCAGATAGTGAACATGATAATCCAGCCCCTTTGATCAATGATACAACAAATATGTTGTGCCTCAGTCAGCTCTACTTTTTCTGTATGCTTTTCCTCCTTCATCAAGTGCCACTTTTTAGTTCAAGAAATTGAGAACTAAGCAGGAGACACTTTCTACAGTTTAACTCATGTTTTTCTTTGTTACAGTCGATATTGGCGAAGATGGAACCGATTTTGCAGGAGAAAATGTAGAGCTGGTGTGAAGTCTAGTGTCTTTTACTGGCTTGTAATATTTCTTGTATTCCTCAACACCCTCACCATTGCATCCGAACACTACAACCAGCCTGACTGGCTTACCCTAGTTCAAGGTAGGAGCAAAACAGAATGAAAATAAAGGCAACATGTTAGCACGCTATTTTGTGTATAAATATGGCATCCCAATCCAGTAAAATTTTCCTCATATCAGTGATTTACTATGCACATTATACATAAAAGCTATAATATTTGAGTCAGAATTTTTTTAAAAAATCATTAAAAAGGAAAACATTTTTTTCTTAGTTAATATCCTGTGGCAGTAAGCAGTAAGTTGGAGAATATGGTCTCATTCTCATCTAACTCCTGCTAAAATGGCACAGTTACTTGCAGGATGAGGTGGATGGTGCAGTGCCAAAGAGTGTCCATACTTGGCAGGGATGTCAGCAAGGCCACCTCAAACATCAGTGTACTCATTAGGTTGGTTTGTACGCAAAAGCCACTCTGATCTAGGTGTTGCAACGACAGGAACTGGAAGTTCTCCCAATATCAGGATCCCAATTCCAGAACAAATTCAATTCCTGGACTCTGCATATGCACAGTTATATGCAGTCATCCAAAAGTTAATGTCAGCCATTTTATATTTCCCCATAGAGTGCTGTTTTGAATGTGACTCAGGCTGATGTCAAATAGAAATTATTGGTGAAAACTTTTCCTTTTATGTTATTGGTCTCCCTATAAAAACCTTCGAAAAGATCGCACCTTGTAATACAATGTAACTGGGCTTTCATTCCATGTATAAATATTGCTGAAAAGCTTTGGTTCTCAAATACTAATTTTGTATTCATGAATATGAAATATCTTCATGATGGAAAAAACTACATTTTTTAATTGATCATGATATTTCATCAATTTGTGGGTGAACCGAAAGGATCCAGGGAGGACTGATCACAACTGTCTCTGCTTGTGTCACTGCCTACTGCTCATTCATGCAATGCTTTACTTTATGCCACCCATTCTAAGATGATATGAGAACTCACTGGGGTGAGATGCCTGCACTGGAAGAAATTGTACTTTAATGAAGTCATGGTGCAGACTATGTTGCTTCATCTTCTGGGAACAGCATCCTTCCTGCAGACACAGCCCCACATCTCCAGAACTGACCCTGTGAAAATCATAAGAAGTGAGTCATGAGGATGCATCTCCATCAGCAGATGCGTTTGTTAAATTGAATCATGAAAATACAGTTATTAGCATAGCACTGACTGACGTGAGATTTGTAAACCTTTCACCTGGATACTTTGAAGTAGTTCCTCCCTGTCCCTGACAGATTTGTATCTCTCCTTGTCCACTCTAGATTACAGCACAAAAGGAGGCCATTCTGCCCAGCCCAACATATATGTACTACCTCTCTGACAGAGCAAGTCCTTAGAGCCATGCCTCTTCCCTCTCTCAATTGCACTGGACTGTCTTTCTCTTCAGGTATAACCCAATTCCCACTTAAATGCCTTATTCAAATCTACTTCCACTTCACTCTTAGGCATTGCATTGCAGATCCTAACTAGTTGCTGTGTGTGAAAGGTCTTCCTCAGGTTGTTGTTGCTTCTTTTGCAAATCAACTGCCATTTGTGCTATCTGCATAATAAATAAAGAAAGCAGCATGCAACAGAGAGGGCAAAGTGATTCCAGAACTAACCTCAGATCTGAACTCTGCAGTCCTGTGACATTTAATTTTGAACAGTGGTGGATACTTAAACAACTCGTAGAGGAGGAGACTCCACAAATATTCCCATCTTCAATGATGGGGAAATCCAACACACCAGTGAAAAAGTTGAGGCTGAAGCATCTCCAAGTATCATCGGCTAGACTCTGGACCTTCTTCAGAAGCTTGCAGCATCACAGATGCCAGCCCAGCCAAATCAATCTAATCCATGTGATATTAAGAAATAGCTAATGGCACTGAATAGTGTAAAGGCCTTTGGACCTGACAATTTTACAGCAAAATATTAAAGAGTTGTGCTGCAGAATTTACATACCACAAGCTAAGTTGCTCCAGAAAAGTTGTAACACGCATTTATCCAGCAATGAGGGAAATTGTCCCGTTATGTCCTATCCATTAAAAGTAGATAAAAAACCAATATGGCCAATTATCACCCCATCAGTCTACTTTGAATTATTAGCAAAGTGATGAAAGGTAATCTCACGTAATTGTAATCGCAGTCCTCTAATTGTTCCTCTTGACCTACCACATTCCTAACAATCAAATCTAACAGTGTCTCCTTTCTCATTGGTCTGGAAACATACTGCTATAGAATATTCACCTGAACACAATCTAGGAACTCTTGACCATCTCTGACTTTCACAGCACTACTATCACAATCTATATTTGTGATTAATTCCCATTATTACTAATGTATAATTCTTGGACTTTTCTGTAATTTCCTCTAAAATTTCGTTTACAACTTTGCTCAATATAAATGCACCTTTTAGTTGTTTATTTGATGTCTTCTCTTTCCAACATGGCAATACTACCACTCCTCGCTTTCCTATCTTTACTGAATATGTCTTAACCAGAATTATTTAATATATAGTCTTGTTCTTCTTTGAATCACATCACTGATATCGCTACATCATGATGGGTCAAAACTTCTGAAGAGTGGAAATCTCAGATTGCAAAGCTGTTTCTTTTTATTTCACTGCTCCAGAGCTTCACAATTCTGGCTTGAATTCTTGATTTTGACAGCGTGAGCAATGCAGAGTGACCTGTTTTGAGTGCCTCCCAGAGCAGCACAGGATTAGCACTAGAAGCCAGACCAAGTCCCCCTTTTATCACAGTAACTGTCGCATTCCAAGATTTAATGGTCCAAAGACAATTAGCCAAGTTACAGAGAGAAAATAAGTATATAAGATAATTAGGTGAGGGAATAGGATGGGAGATGGAGGTTGAGTTGGTAGGAGATAGGTTAAGTCAAGGTTGAGTGGAATAGAGTGGCAGTGGGTGGGTCGGGTTAGTTTGCAGATAAATAGACAAGGTGGTAGAGTGACAGCTAATTAGTTTAGGGTAAGTGCCAACAGGTAGGTGGGTCAGAGTAGAGTAGCAGGAGGGTGAGTGAGAGTTCCGGTGGTAGATATGTAGGAAAAGGGTAGAGTAGCAGATAGGTCCAGTGGGGTAGGACGGCAGCCAAGTGGTCGAGGCATTGGAATGGCAGATAGGTAGTTAAGAGGGTAGAGCAGTACACAGGAAGGTGGAGATTGGATGGCAGGTGGGTGGGTGAGGGGGTAGGGATGCAGGAAATTAGTTGACTAGGTCGAGGGCTACACAGATAATTAGGTAGGAATGAAGGGAGGTTGAAGTTCGGAGCCTTTTACTTACCTTCTCAGGTAGAGGTCACCTAGACTTGTTATGAATGAACTGGACTGCTCAGCAGCTGGCCTGAATTTGTAATTATGTTCAAGCATGACATCACTGGAAAGTCATAAGTAAATTAGTCATTGAGTAGATGCTATTAGGAACTCCACTAATTTCAAAATATCTAAAATTATAAACTAGTACAAGTAAAGTGAATATTTATAGGTACAGGAGAAGGACCTGTTATGTGAATAATGGTGAAGATTTTCTACTTTCTACCCTTCTCTAGTTCATAATTTGTAGTACAAGTGTAAAGCTTAAATAAGTAAACTGATTTAAAAGTATAAGATCGAGACATAGCGGGGCAACACAGCCAAGTGGAATGCCCATCGGTGACATGTTGGGAGTCATGAACATTCACATGATCTAGATAAGACCCCGTGTATAAGAAGTGTCACCAGCCGAACAAGCTTGAGCTCTGAGTTTCAGAGCTTGAGTAGGAACTAGATTCACTGAGGTGTTCATCTGTGAAGCAAAATACTCTATGGATAGCACATTCAGAGAGATGGTCACACCAGAACTTAGGGTCAGGCAGCTGGATAGGAAATTGGTGAGCACCATGCTGTCTGAGAAACAGACAAACAGTACAGAAGTCCCCAGAGGTCTTGTTCACTAACTGGTTTTCTATTCTAGATACTGGTGAAGGGGACAGTTTCTGGAGGAGTGCAGCAGGAAGGAAACATATGGCACCATGTGTGACCCAGTTTTACAGGAGGGAAGGAAGAAAAATGGATCGCCCTATTGATAAATGATGCTTTAGCAACACAGTTAGGGGTTTCTGCAAACATTGATGTGACTGGAGGATGGTATGTTGCCTTCGTACTGCTGGGGTAAAGGATATCCCAGAACAACTGCAGCACATGCTTCTGGAGGATGGCCCATATGGGTACTAAAGACTAAGGAAGGTGGAATGTGATCCTGTAATCAGAATTTGCAGAACAATGTAGAAAATTAGCCAGCACAGCTTCTAAAGTAATGATTTCCAGATTATTCCCAGTGACAAATGAGTACAGAAATAGGAAAATAAAGAAGTTGAATGCATCACTGGAATGATGTTGCAGGAGAAAGGCTTTAGATTTCTGGGACACTGGGACTGGCTCTTGGGGAGGGTAGTACTTGTTCAAGCTGAATGGGTGGCATTTGAACAGCGGCAGACTGACTTCCTTGTGGGCATTTTCTAGTGCTGTTGTGAAGGATTTAAACTGACTTAGCAGGAATGTAGGAACCATGAGAGAATATTAGAAAGTAGTACCAAGGTGCATAACATACTGGGAGATAGCAGATAGCGCGAGGAGAGAGAATAACAAGTTGTTTTTACCAAAACTGATTTCACATCATGATCTATTGTACTCATAACTCTACTCAGCACTTCATTTAATTTGCTAGTTTTTCAGATGATATAAATATTGATTTCACTTCCTATTCCTCAAATTTTGGTAGGATTTGTGTAACCTAAATGTTTCCTGACTGGCCTTTGGATTGTAATGAGAATATTCCCCATCACAGCATTCTTTGGCTTCTGAGGCCTCCTTCCTCATTTGTATTATTTTAAACATTATTTCTTTCTCATTTTCGCACATCTGTTGTTCCAGCCTTCTCATTTCCATTTGTATCCTTTATAAATTCTTCTTTATAATTCACTTTTCCTCATGAGCCAACCATGTTAACTGTAACTCAGTATTAATTGACTCCAATGTCTCACCACTGGACGATCTGGTGTCTTCTGTGTTTTTGCCAAGTCCAGTTGCTGGGATGGTACTTGAATTACCCGTACGTTCTGAGTTCTGAGACATAATTCCACTTCAATTTTATTTGCCAATTAAACTACTTAGCTTTTGTGATCTTTCATAGGTTCAGCAGGGACATCTGACTGACCTGCAAAAGGCTTTAGTAGCTTCTAGTGCCAACTTATTTCTTAATGGAAAACCTAATATTTGACATTTTCTTCTTTGTTAGTTATATTAACTCATACCCAATCTTAATTATTTGAGACTGTCCTGGATGAGCCCTTAAATTTTGTCATGACTCACTGGAATAGCTCTCTGGAAATCAAGCCTCACTATTCCTGGAGTTGTTACAAATGTAAAAGTTTGCCTAAACCACTGAATTGCCCAATTTTACCTAACTGTCTAATTCAGGTTAAAAAAAAGTGTACATCAGTTTTTTCCATCTACAAGAAAATAATTGTTTATCATCAACAAGCTGCTTTTAACCAATGGCAAAAATATAGACAAGTTCTACAGCTAATTTATAATTCTATATCTTTAAATTTAATCTTAACATTCCGAAACATATACAAACAGATACACAAAGAGACAAGACACACCATTAATGCTGGGAAAGAAAACAGTGTCAGAGAAAAACAGTTCTAGTACCAGTCTTCCATATCACATATGTTGATTAGCTATTTTCTTTCAGGTCTTTTCAATTCCTTCCAGCCCTTTGCTGATTATGGATATGATACTATGGGTATACCAATTCTCAGTCTCTCATTCACTGGTTAAGGGTTTACTCTTTAACAGCATCTAGAAGTAGTTTTCCCTTTTTCCTTCAACAGGGGATTTGCAAAGAGAGCTACTTACAGAGAAATATGAGAGAGAGTAGCTAGCTGATAAGGACTTTAGTTTACTTCTCCACAGAAGTAAACTCTTCTAGAAGTAAGAAAGAGAGAGATGAATGGATTTTTTTTCTTCATAAGCTGAATGTTTGTTATATTGTCCACACACAAGGCTATGGCCACTGGTCCAGGAACCAATCAAATGATTGTTACTATGCCGAGCCCTTTTGAGCCCACAACAAATAGTAATGCTTGCATAGCCAATCAAAAGACTGTCTATGGGCAATATTGCCCTAAACACACAGGTGATGGCATTTTATCTGGAATTCCTCCTCACTGCTTGAATATGGGAACCATGATGTGGAGGTGCAGTCTTGGACTGGGGTGGACAAGATCAGAAGTTGCACAACACCAAGTTATAGTCCAAGAGATAGTAGGAACTGCCGATGCTGGAGAATCTGAGGTAACAAGGTGTAGAGCTGGATGAACACAGCAGGCCAGGCAGCATCAGAGGAGCAGGAAAGCTGATGTTTCGGGTCTGGACCCTTCTTCAGAAATGGGGGAGGGGAAGGGATCTCTGGAATAAATAGAGAGGTTGGGGGAGGCAATGATGGAAGGTGGATAAAGGAGCAGATAGGTGGAGAGAAGACAGACAGGTCAAGGAGGTGGGGATTAGGCTGGTAGATAGGAGGTGGGGGCGGGGTTTTATCAGTGAGGTGGGAGGAGCGAATAGGTGGGAGAAAAGACGGACAGGCCAAGGAGGCGGGGACGAGCTGGGCTGGTTTTGGGATGAGGTCGTGGATGGGGAGATTTTGAAGCTTGTGAAGTCCACATTGAGACCATTGGACTGCAGGGTTCCCAAGCGAAGTATGAGGTGCTGTTCCTGCAGCCTTCGGGTGGCATTGTTGTGGCACTGCAGGAGGCCCAGGATGGACATGTCATCTGAAGAATGGGAGGGGGAGTTGAAGTGGTTCGCGACTGGAAGGTGCAGTTGTTTGTCATGAACCAAGCGTAGGTGTTCCACAAAGCGGCCTCCAAGCCTCTGCTTGGTTTCCCCGGTGTAGAGAAGGCCACATGGGGAGCAGCGGATACAATATATCACATTAGCAGATGTGCAGGTGAACATCTATTTAATGTGGAAGGTTTTCTTGGGGCCTGGGATGGGGGTGAGGGGTGAGGTGTAGGGGCAGGTGTAGCACTTTCTGCGGTTGCAGGGAAAAGTGCTGGGGCTAGTGGGGAGTGTGGAGCAGATGAGGGAGTCACGGAGAGAGCGGTCCCTCCGGAAGGCATATAAGGGTGGGGAGGGAAAAATGTCCTTGGCAGTGGGGTCAGATTGCAGGTGGCGGAAGTGGCGGAAGATGATGCTTTGAATCTGGAGTTTGGTGGGGTGGTACGTGAGGACAAGGGGGATTCTGTCTTTGTTGTTATTGTGGGGAGGGGGTGTGAGAGATGAGTTGCGGGAAATGTGAAAGATGCGGTCGAGGGCGTTTTCGACAATTGTGGAGGGGAAAATGAGGACATCTGGGTTGTCCGGGAGTGGAATGCCTCATCTCAGGAGCAGATGCGGTGGAGGCGCGGGAATTGGGAATAGGGATGTCATTCTTGCAGGAAGGCGGGTGAGAGGAGGTGTATTCTAGGTAGCTGTGGGAGACAGTAGGCTTGAAATAGATATCGGTTTCCAGATGGTTGCCAGAGATGGAAACAGAGAGGTCCAGGAAGGAGAGAGAGGTATTGGAGATGGTCCAGGTGAACTTAAGGTTGGGGCGGAAGGTGTTAGTAAAGTGGATGAACTGTTCGTGCTCCTCGTCGGAGCATGAGGCGGTGCCAATAGTTATAGTCCAACAGGTTTATTTGAAATCACAAGCTTTCATAGTGCTCTGAAAGCTTATGATTTCAAATAAACCTGTTGGACTCTAACCTGGTGTCGTGTGACTTCTGACCTTGAATAAGATAACATTGTAAATGCAACTCACAGTGTATTGCTGGAATTTGTTTTTAAAACTGTAGAGCTCTTTTTCCACAGTTACTTTGGTTTAAAGCTGTATATTCTCCCATTTTAGTTAGAAGTCAAAATAAAAATCAAAGTGGATTTTATAGGTTGTACTCCCCACATGAACCATCACTTTATCAGTATCCAGAATTGAATCCAAGCTGCAGAATGAGACACACTACTTGCCTATTCCTTCACAACTTCCTTGTGCTCACTCATGGCCCATTCCTTCTCTCCTGCCTGCTGTTAAGCTGTGGGGTGAACCTTTTTATAGGTATGCTTTCACAAAGCTCTCAATCTCACGAATGTACCAGTGGCTCCTAAATCTGGATCTCAAGCACTGCAATCTGTTGTCACATTCACACACAAGGTTATTTAAGGACACTAGATATCCTATATGGGGCAGGGTATGCACCAAAGCTGGCCTGTCATTCCGCTATTTCTTAAATCAGGCTTTACAAGCAAAATGAAAATTCAGCCCTTTGACTCTACACATGCTCAGGAGTTGGGATGTTATGTTGCACTTGCACAGGACATTGGTGAGGTCACTTTTGGAATACTGTGTACAGTTCTGGTCACCCTGCTATAGGAATGATATTATTAAATTGGAGAGGGTGCAGAAAAGATTTACAAGGATGTTACCAGGACTGGAGGGTTTGAGTTATAAGGAGAGGCTGGATAAGCTGGGATTTTTTTTCAGTGGAGTGTAGGAGGTTGAGGGGTGACCTTATAAAGGTTTATAAAATCATGAGGGACGTTGATAAGGTGAATAGCAAAGGTCTTTTCGCTAGGGTTGGGGATTTCAAAAGTAGAGAACATAACTTTAAGGTTGGAGAAGAAAGATTTACAAGGATCTGAGGGCAACTTTTTCACACAGGGTGTGGTACCAATTTGGAATGAACTAACAGAGAAAGTGGTAGATGCAGGTACGGTTTCAGCATTTAAAAGACATTTAGCCAGGTACGTAAATAGGAAAGGTTTAGAGCTTTATGGGCCAAACACAGGGAAATGGGACTGGTTTAGTTTGGAAAACTTGGTCAGTATGGGCCAGTTAGACTAAAGAGTCTGCTCCTGTGCTGTATAATTCTATGACTCTTTGACACAGTTAGATTTGGAAATTCAGAAGTCAATGCCAGATTTCACATTTGAAAATTGGGTGATCTGACAAAATTATCCCAAATCACAATTATGAAGAAATTAATGAAGTAATCAAAATGTTTCTTGTACATTGTTAGTCTCACTGTAGAAACCCTTGGAAAAAGTTATATGTTGTTCACAAATTGTAATTGGGTTTGAATAGTATATTAAGTTTGTAATTAATGTTGAAAATCTGTCTGGCTGTGCATTACTAATACATTTATGGAATTTCAGATTTCTACATCACATTAAATTTTAAATTAAAAAGAATGATATTTATGATAGTTAAATTTCTACCTTAATTACACATGTATGACTCAATCATTCATGTCGCTCTTTGCAGAACATAAAGGTGAATTTTTCTGTACATTTTACTTTTGGTTTGTTGACTGAAATTGCACTTCAGTGAAATTATCTTACTTTGTGTGATGGCACCACTGTCGCTGAACTCCCAGTATTACAGAACTGTAAAATGCTTAAGTATGTTATCTACAGTTTTTTTTTTCACTTTGATGTACATTAATTCCAATTAAATTTAGAAGTGTGGGTTTATTTCCTAAAATATTGCACTTTTCCCTGAGAGTTACTGTGGTAAATGTATGGTATGGAATTAGGCTTCACACCAAAGGGAGGGCCAGGTTCACTTTCTGGTCAGTACTTAATTAGTTGATTTCTCATTCAATAATGTTGATGATACACTTAGCTTCCATGTCCTTATGCTAAGATGGAGGAAATCAGTCAGGGTTAACACTCAACATTACTGACAGGATCGGGTTAAGTTTCAATATGGATCCTGTTTGATAGTTAGTCTGTGCTGATGCAACACTGGCTTCATGGAAGTGTACCCTGAAGATTGCCATCACCTGCCATATGCCTCTGTAAGTTACAGCTGAGAGGACAGGAAAGAGATATAGGAAAAATATTGTCGTCTGAAAATTTTGATTAAATTATTTTATTCTTTAATTTTATAGACACTGCAAACAAAGTCCTTTTGGCACTTTTCACTGGTGAAATGCTGCTTAAGATGTACAGTCTTGGACTTCAAGCTTATTTTGTATCACTTTTTAACCGCTTTGACTGTTTCATTGTCTGTGGGGGAATCCTTGAGACCATTCTGGTGGAGACCAAGATTATGTCCCCACTTGGTATTTCAGTGCTTCGCTGTGTGCGACTTCTGAGAATATTTAAAATTACAAGGTAATATGTTTATTTTTCACATGCTGATATTTATAGTTTCATGAAATAAATAAAGCATCTGCACACTTGTGAGAGTAGAAATGTAATTATATAAACGAATTAAGTGGATTGACCTGATCACTTATAAATGCTGCAGTAGTGAATTATGCAAAACAATTTACTGCATATAATTTGTCATGTTCTGTTCAATGCATAAATTAAAAATTAATCTTCAAAAATAAGAGTAAAATGAATCAGAAAAACCAAAGAATTCAACAATGCATTGCAATTATTTGTGATTTTATACATTTAATTAGGAATAAACAGAAATCTAAATGATAAATGTTTATTTTATGTAAAATATAAATTTGTTATTAGGTTAGAACAGCTATATTTTGAAAACTTGAATGAAACTCTCAAATCAAGTACAGTTTGCTATGCTAGAGAGGGACATAACATGCATTGTATTCACATATGAAATTTTGCAACTGTATTGCCATGTGTGGCATAAATATTTGGAAGCTATATGAATGGAGTAAAAATAATAAATTGGTTAAGAATTAATTTCCAGAAAAGAAACTCATTTTATTTAGGAAAATGGTATATTTAGGGATTGAATAGTAGCGTGGAAAGAAAGCATTCTGTTTTTATCTGAGATTAGTGTAAATACAATCCAAAAAGGGTGAAACTTTTCTCTTTAACTGAGTGGTGCAGTCCATGACTCCTTTACACATCACGTTATGCACTTAAAAATGTTATTAAAGCTAGAACAAAAGAGTCATGTCAAGACCAGTCTGAAAACAATTGAGTGTAATAAGGTCTTTGACAATATCAATATTGCAAAAAACTGAAATTGTGAATAAATACCTAATTGCCTTCTTTGTTTCTATCTTTAGATATTGGAATTCCTTGAGTAATTTGGTAGCTTCCCTCTTGAATTCAGTTCGATCAATTGCTTCTTTGTTGCTGCTCCTGTTCCTCTTCATCATAATCTTTTCACTCTTGGGCATGCAACTTTTTGGAGGAAAGTTTAATTTTGATGAGATGGAAACAAAACGGAGTACATTTGATAACTTTCCTCAGTCCCTTCTTACTGTCTTCCAGGTATGTTATGGTTACTTTTAACACTGTATATGTTGTCAAAGTACTGAACATTGGGTGCAGTACATAGCTAGAATATGGAATGCAAATGAACAAAACATTTTAAATTATAATGCTTATGAATTAGTATTTCCTGATGCCAAATGACTTATTTTTCAATGAAAACCTCTTCTTTATTCTGTAGCCTTTGTCCTAAACATAAGGTACCCTATATCACACTCAGTGACTTGTAAAGCTTTCATAATCATAAATTAGTTAACTCATTGCTGATAAATTCCTCCAAGATTCTCCCGTTTTGTTGTCATACCTCCAGCTTTATGGAGTAATACTATCAGCACAGGGTCTTCAGATAAAGGGTGAGTTCCCTCAACATAACAAAGGAAGAGTATCTCAGGATACTAAGGCTTTTGCAGGTAATCATCACTGATATCTATTTTCCTGAAAGAAGACCTTTGCCAAAAAGACCAAGTGGAGTCATTAATTGTGTTCATTGAGGTAACTGCAATCTTGAATTTCTTCACCACTGACTGCTTCCAGGAATCTGCTGGTGACATTTTCAGGGTCTCTTAGTATGCTACCCGTAAGAACATCTCCCACGTGACCATTTGTCAAGACCACTACTTGTATGTATTTTGTCATATTTGTTTCTCTTCAGTGACTAGTTTCCCAATAATGTATTGAGTCATTGATTGCATTAAGATCCTCTTATTAAGATTACTAATTCAGACCAGATTAGCCAAGAGTCCAGTTGCAAGAAATTCCACTCTCCCAATGTGTAATTAGTTTGTGGTTATGGGAAGATTGTCAGGCATGTTTGTATTAGATGTCTCAGGTGCAAAGCAATCAGAATCCTTCAAGGAGAGGAACAGGTACTGTATCCATTCACCTAGTTGCTGGAGAAATATGTTACAACTCATCTAGGCACGCATCACTTTTTCTGTGTATAATGAAGTCAACTGACTTTAGCATCAAAAACCATAATTCACAATAACAGTCAAAAACCGAGCCATCACACTCACAACCTTTGCTTTCCATCAAAGCTGATAACACCATTCACATAAAGCCTATTGTTCAGACTATATAGGGTAGACAGTGAAATAGGACCAGGAGAAAGAGAAGTTCAAATACAGTTTGATGCATCAAAATAAATGTCACCATAAAAACATTGACATTGCTTTCCAAACCCAGGTGAAACCAGCTCCCCTGCCTCGTTATAAAGTTAAAGTCACCGTAGTCCTAGTGGACCATAGGGCTGTCATTTCATTTTAGAGATAGAGAGAGAGATGACTCGTGAGTGGTTTAACCTGAGGGTGTCCCTGCCTCAAGCAAATGATGAGGCTGAGAAGGCAGGGCCTTCATAGTAACCTCAGCTGGCGTGGGAATGAACCCAAGTTGTTGGCATCACTCTGCATTGCAAACCAACCATACAGCCAAATGAGCTAACCAACTCCCTCCTCTCTTGTGCAAATGATATGATATGCTCGAATGCTTTCTTTAACTCCTGTGTATTGTATTCTACATGACTACATTCTACAGCAGAGCTGGCGGCAGACTGCTTGGTCTCCTGTTTTGACAGATTAGATGCCCTTGGCAAATTTCCTCTGGGCTTTGGAACCTGCGAGGGCCCTGGCGAAGATTTCCCCACCTGCAATTACACATGTACAGGCAGAGTCAGTCATCAGGACAAGAGGCAGTATGCTCTGTCTGACGGAATGAGGCAGAAATGAGAGCTTGTTGAGAAGACCCCACTGCTATGTATCCTATCTCCAGCTTCCTCCTAATAGTTCATGTGCACTACCTTGCTGCCCAAAAGCTGAAGTGCACTTGGCTGCATATCAGTAAGATGCTGAACCCATCAAGATGAGGCTTTGCTCCATCCAGTGTTCAGTGTTAGGTGGGAATATATATTTTTGGTTAAAATCAGATCAACATGATCTTGTTGAATGGCAGAGCAGGCTTAATGGTCTGAATGGCCTACTGCTCCTAATTTGCGCATATGTTTGAATATACATATTGGATTCAATGCTTACAAATGTTTTAAAGAATGAAATATTTCATGTGATGATTTATGAATCACACTAAGCAATAATCATTGGTCACAACAGACAGCATCCGGATGAATCTCCTCTGTATCCCCTTAGTACATCATACTTCTTCATAACGTGATGACCAGAACTGCACACTAGTCCAGTTGTGACCAAACCAGCATTTTATACAGATTCAGCTTAATCTCCTTGCTGTTGTATTCCATGCCTTGACTGATAAAGGCAAGTATTTCGTATGCGGCCTTAACTGTATTGTCTACTGCCCTGCTACCTTCAGAGATCTGAGGATACGCACAGCAATGTCCCTCTGATCTTCAATACTGTCCAGGGTCCTACTATTCATAGTATAATCCCTTGCATTGTTAGCCCTCCCCAAGTGCATTATTTCACTCTTCTCTAGGTTGAATTCCATTTGCCACTGCTGTACCCACCTGAGCAGTTTATTAACGTCCTCCTGCAGTTTATGGCTATCCTCCTAACTATTTACTACCTACCAATTTTCTGATTATTCGCAAACTCCTTGCTCATATCTCATACATTTAAGTCCTTATCATTAATATACAGCGCAAGCAGAAAGGGCCCTGGCACCAAGCCTTGCTGAGCACCTCTCCTATCACTGAAACATTCTTCTTCCATTACCCTCTTCTTCCTACTTCTCAAACAGTTTAGGATCCAATGTACCACTTGGCCTTTGATTGCATTGGCACTTACTTTCTCAACCACTTTTCCTTGAGGCACCTTGCCAAATTAATCCATGATTCTCCAAACGTAGATATTATATTCTGTCACTCAGAATTCTTCATATTAGGTTAGATTGACTAGACTGGCCTGTACCAGAAGGATCAATGCTGGGTCCCTTATTATTTGTGGTATATATGAATGATAAAAATGAGAATGTGAGGGGATGCTAACTAAGTTTGCAGATGACACAAAAATTGATCAGGTGGCTAACAGTGAGGAAGAAAGTCTTGGTTATAAAAAGATATAGACAAGTTAATCAAACGGGCAGATGAAATTTAACATTGAAAATGAGGTAATGCACTTTGGAAGAGAGTACTCAACAAATGGAGGGCAGTTTTGTATCAATCAAATTACCCTAAATTCCATGTGCTTTTACCTCTGAATCCATATAATCTACATCAATTGCACTACCCTCATCTACACACCTGATCAACACATTGGAAAATTCAACTAAATTTGACTCCTTCTGTCAAAGCACTGCTGACCATCCCTCATCAAACCTTTCCTCTCCAAGTGCAGATTAATTCTTTCTTTCAGAATTTTCTCCAGTAGTTTCCCTTGCATTGAATTGAGACTCACTGTAATTCCCTGGTTCATCCCCAGACCTCTGTCCTCCCTGGCATCTTCCCTGTGGCTGGAGAAGAGTTAAAAATTTGGGTCACTCAGAGCCCTTGTATTTTCCTCCCTTACCACCCACGATAGCCTGGGAGTTGACGTTGCAGACTTGCTCGTCAAGCCAGTGCATTTGATTGCAGACGTTTCATCACTCTGCTAGGTAACATCGTCAGTGTGCCTCCAGTGAAGTGTTGGTGTTCTAGCCGGCTTGTTATGTATATGCCTTGGTTTGCTGGGGTGGTTGGTATCACTTCTGGTTCTGTTTTTCAGTGGTTAGTATATTGAGTCCAGTTCAATGTGTTTGTTGACAGAGTTCCAGTTGGAATGCCAGGTCTCCAGGAATTCCCTGGCATTTCTCTGTTTGGCTTATGCTATTATGGATGTATTGGCCCAGTCAAATTCATGTCCATTTTTGTCCGTGTGTATTGAGACCAATGAGAATTGGTCGTGTCTCTTGATGGCTCATTGGTGTTCATGTATCCTTATTGTCAGTTTTATTCCAGTTTGGCCTATATGCTGTATCTCACAGTCCTTGCATGATATTTTGTATATTACATAAGTTTTATTGGTTGTCGGTATGGGGTCCTTTACGTTTGTCAGTAGGTGTCGCAGTGTGGTTGTTGATTTGTGGGCTACCCTGATACCTAGGGGTCTGATAGTCTGTGGTCGTCTCTGATATGTCCCTGATGTATGGTAGGGTGACTAGCATGTCTGGCCATGTTGTGTCTTCTTGCTGTGGTCTGTCGCAGAGGTAGTGACAGATTGTGCTTTTTGGGTATCCATTCCTCTTAAAAACTCAATATAAGTGCTGTTGTTCTGCTTCGTGCAATTCCGGGTTGCTGCTGTGTGTTGTGGCTCATTTGAATAATGTCCTGATGCAGCTCCGTTTACCCCAGCAAACCGAGGAATATAAGTAACAAGCGGGCTAGAATACCAACACTTCACTGGAGGCGCACTGACAATGTTACCTAGCAGGGTGATGAAATGTCTGCAATCAAACGCACCGGCTCAGCGAGCAAGTCTGCAACCTCAAACACAAACCAAGTTCCAAATCTTCTCAAAAACGTTAGACTGGGGGTTTTTTTACTTTTTAAATCTGCCAAAATCTACAGTGATAATAAAGCTAATTCAATTCAATTCAATACGTCCTAACACCCAATGTCAGTTTGTGTGAGAACATCACAGCCCCTGTCTTCAGTTTCTGTACCTACAGCCTCCTCCTCCCGAGTGAAGACAGATATGAAGTACTCACTTAACACCCTGCCAATGCGCTCCAACTCCACGCAGAGATTGCCCCCTTGGTCCTTAATGGGCCCTACTCTTTTCCTGGTTATCCTGTTCCCCTTAATATATTTTTGAAATATCTTGGGATTCTCCCTAATTCTCTATAGCTTCACCTGCACTCTCTATACTCCAGTAGGCCGGATACAGATTTGCTCCCTCTGCATCTGCTAAAAGCCTCTCTTTCCTTCTTATTCAGTTCTGAATATTCCTCGATATCCAAGGTTCTTTGGGCTTGTTGCACCTACGTTTCACCTTAATGGGAACATGTTGGGCCTGTACACTCCACATTTCCTTTTTGAAAACCTCCCACTGTTCTGC